GGTACAGGCTCCTGCCAATCTTGTAACAGTACTTTGCACTTAGACGGCGCAAAGCACATACCATACTTACAGACACTGAACGCCAACTGATCAAGTGCGATTTGGGCAGCCTGCATGCTATCGCACAGTAAGACGATATCGTCTGCATACTCAAGGTCGAAAAGTCTATCTCCAGGTAGCAGATCTACACCACCTTCACGCACATCCTTCAGAGCTGACTCCAGAATGTCATCGATGGCAAAGTTAAAGAGAAACGGAGAGATTGGGCAACCCTGTCTAACCCCACTGTTGGTTGGGAACAGTGGTGATAGTTGGTTGTATGCCCTCACTCTACCTGAGGTGTTTCTATATAGGGCTTTCAGGATGTTAACAAATTTCTCAGGTACACCTCTCTCTAACAGACAGTTCCAGAGCACAGTTCTGTCCAACGAATCGAAGGCAGCCCTAATATCAAGAAACACAACGATCGTTGGCCTGCAATACGTGTGGCGGTGTTCCAACAACTGACGAAGGGTGAACACCTGATCAATGCATCCACGACCTGAACGAAACCCAGCCTGCTCTTCGCGAATCAATCCTTCACGTATTTTGCACAGTCTGCGAAGCAAGACAGCAGCCAGCATTTTAGACGCGACTGGTAACAGACTGATACCCCTATGATTGTCACACGAATTACGTCGACCCTTTTTAAAGATGGGGACGATAATGGCTTCGTTCCACATTGATGGTACACTCTCTGTCTCCCACACATTCCTGAACAACCCAGTTAGAGCCATTGTGAGAGTCTCGCCACCATCTTTAAAAAGAGCCGGGGGTAATTTGTCTGGGCCGGGCGACTTATGGCGTTTCAGAACTTGGAGTTCCTTACGGACCTCCGCTTCGGTGGGTGGGTCGGTACTAACCGACCAAGGAGCATTCGGGCTAATGATAGTAGACACTGAAGCTGGTGGCCAGCTGAACTGCTTCCCGAAGTGCTCTGCCCAGCGTTCCAGGCGTCTTTTTAGGCTGGTAATTGGAGTGCCATCTGCCTCACAGACCGTCTCGCTGACACCTTGTTTCTTGCTGCCGGTGGCTCGTATGAGTTGGAACACCTTCCGACTGTTGCCAGATGCAGCAGCTGACTCCATCTCACACGCACGTTCTGACCACCAGGTTTCGCAGTCCTTACGTAAACACTGTCTAATCTTGCGCGTGAGCGCCTTTCGCTGATTGTTGTATTCGCTGCCAGCCGGAATGGACCGGCGTTCATCCATGAGTTGCAAGGAACTCGCAGAAACCCAGTGGTTTTTAGCGGAGCATTCTTTCAAGCCGCAAGCGGCTACACTCGCCTTTTGCATGGCACCTTGCACATGAAGCCAATGTTCATCTACACTACTTGGGGGGTTGCTGGCAAGCATTGATTGTAACTCATTCTAGTATTTCAAAGAAGTAGCAGGTGCTACTAGTTTGCTCACATCAACGCTTATACGACGGCTTTTATGAACCCCACCAAATCGCAAGACGAACTTGGCACACACTGACGCATGATCGGAGTCCAGGCATGTGCCCCAGAAGGAGCGACAGTCTTGTATGCATCCTCGCCACCGGAAACTGACCGCGATATGATCAATCTGAGTCCAAGCTTGCTTCGCAGAGGGAGGACGCCAGGTAGAGCTACGGCGATGGCTGTGCCAGAAGTTTGTACTAGCTAGAAATAGGTTGTGATCCGCGCAAAGCTGCAGAAGACGGTCCCCATTATCTGACCTGCGACCATGTAGTCCCCACTGACCACCTAGACGATTCTCCTCTGAGCTTAGGCGCCCCACCTGTGCATTCAAGTCCCCAGCCAGCACTACGATATCCCTCCGACCCGCCTGTTTCAAGAGATCGCTCAGTTGGTAGTAAAACTCATCCTTCATTGCATCCGGGCTGCAATCCGTCGGTGCATAGGCAGAGACAACAAATAGACACCGCCTATCTGGCCTACTACTCTTTACTTTCGTGTAACCTTCCAGCCTCACAGCACATAAACGACTGTTAATGGGAATCCAGTCGAGCAGTGCAGCTTCGGCTCTAGCGCTCAGTGCGACACCAACACCAGCTGCGCCGGATGCCGACGCCACAGGGTCCCCGGATAAGCGCAGGTGGTACATACTACTAGAACTTCCAGATGGAGAGGATAGTCGAAGCACTTCACTGGGATCTTGAATGCGGGTCTCCGAAATGCAGCAGACATCGATAGCGAGGCTTTCCAAAGTTCTTGCCAACCCTGCCTGTTGTCCGATTTGCATCAGCGTCCGAACATTGTAGGTAACCAGCTTGAACGCAGCACGCGGTTTCAGGATATCCGTGTTAGATGTCACATTGGGAACAACCATTTTGAGGACTACTCACTAACATCTCGAAACGACACGGATAGGCTGAGAATCTCGACAAAGGCGAAAGGCTGTCGAAGGTTAAGAAGCCAAGGTTAGAAAAGGTACAACACAGGAAACTATGTATAAAAATAAAAGTAGGGTAAGAAGGAAATAAGTTCCCTGAGGGATCAATATTGCTTGGAATCATTTTAACTAGCGCGTTGAGTTTCAATGGGAGTTCGTTGCTTTAATTCATTCATTGTGTGCGGGCTGAGATACTGCCCGGGCGCCCAGACCGAAGCAGGTGGCTTTATTAAGGGACCACCCCCGAGCCTTTGACTTGGAGTCTAATCTGCAAGGTAGCGGAGCAGCGTCAGGAGCTGCATTCCCATGGTTGCCGGTGACCCATGTGGGTTCATACGCCATTTGATCCGATTGGAAACTGGAGCCCATGTACCCCATGGTAACTGCTTTTAGTTTAACCGCTATCCAGAAAACCTTCCTGACATGGTAGGACCTGTGGAGACAGGGTCCCAGTCAGTTCAGCTTGTTGGGTCATTGCGGTATTCAAGCCCGACCACCACGACAAGGTAGCAGTTATCGGCCGGGGGTCTCCGCAAGGACCGTCAACAGTGGTGGCTGACAAAGGCAAAAGAGATGGAAAAAGCATCGGCGGTAGGGAACATCAGGCAACTCTTTAGACTCATCAGGGAAACGGGAGGGAGAAGGCAAATCATAAGTGAGACTATTTCTGAGAAAAATGGCCCCTTAATTATCTCTCAGGATAGACGCCTTCAACGCTGGAAAGAACACTTTGAGGGACAATTTAACTTGCCTACAGCCACACTGAACCTCCCCAACATCCAGCACACACCCGAATGGGATATAGACACTGGTCCGCCGTCTGTAAGTGAGGTCACAAAAGCTATCAGTAATTTGAAACGAGGCAAAGCGGCAGGACCCGACGGAATTATTCCGGAGGTGTTTAAATATGGGGGTGACATACTAGTTTGTAGATTAACTAAGGTACTAGGCAAAGTCTGGGAATCAGAGACAGTTCCATCAGACTGGGGTAAGTCACTTATTATACCGATATTCAAGAAGGGAAACAAGTCCTCGTGTGATAATCATAGGGGGATCAGCCTAACGAACATAGTCTCTAAAATCCTAGGCTCAGTAATCATGCACAGACTAAGCAGAACTCGGGAGGAACAGACGAGGGAAAATCAAGCAGGCTTTAGACCAGGTAGAGGGTGCATAGATCATATCTTCACTCTCCGACAGATTCTAGAACACAGACACACTTTTCGGCGTCCAACAATTGCCATATTTCTTGACTTGAAGGCGGCCTTTGACTCCGTGGATCGAAAGGTACTATGGCAATGTCTGACTGTGAAGGGAGTGCCAAGAAAGTACATTGCACTAATCAAGTCACTCTATTCAAACTCATGTAGCCGTGTAAGGGCTTATGGGGAATTGTCATCTGAATTGATAACAACCAGTGGTGTCCGACAGGGATGTCAACTATCCCCATTTCTGTTTAACTTCATCATAGATATGCTGATGGAAGTATCCTTAACTGAACGTAACGACTTAGGAATCGACTTGTTACCAGGGAATAGTCTTATGGACTTAGAATATGCAGATGACATAGTCCTGTTAGGGGAGGATGCTGACAAAATGCAGAGTCTTCTGAACACCTCGAGCAGCAATCTTCGTATGTTTGGCATGCGATTCGCCCCTGCAAAATGTAAGATGCTGCTACAGGACTGGACTACGTCAACTCCTAGCTTAGTGATAGGGAGTGAAGTGATAGAACATGTTGACCACTTCACCTATTTGGGAAGTTGTATTAGCACCAACGGATTGATTGGCGACGAAATCTCAGCAAGGATCCAAAAAGCTCGAGCTGCTTTCGCTGGCCTACACCACCTCTGGCGTAGGCGTGACATCCGGTTATCAACCAAGGGACGTGTGTACTGTTCAGCAGTTCGCTCCGTCCTTCTCTATGGCTCTGAAACATGGCCAATACGCGTTGAAGACATGAAAAGGTTGACCGCTTTCGATCATAGATGTCTGCGATCCCTGTCTCACGTTAGGTGGTTTCACAAGGTAAGTAATGTTGACGTTAGGCGTAGAGTGTTGGGCAAAGAGGGAAAATCAATCGACGAGGCTATAAAGGTACATAGATTGAGATGGCTAGGTCACGTGCTGCGCATGCCTAACCACGGCCTCCCCCGACGGGCATTGCTAGCTGATATAGGTGAAGGTTGGAAAAGAGCCAGTGGTGGTCAAACAAAAACATGACATCAATCCATGAAATCCTTGACAGTTAAACTGAGTAAGGTAGGGAGATGCAGACTTCCGGGTTGGGGCCCTCGGGACTCTAGGAACCAATGGCTGGAGACAATAGGTGACATGGCTCAAAGTCGTTGTCAATGGCGCAGATGTATTCAGTCTCTGTAATCTTTCATATTCCTTTCTACCATTACTTATTCTGTTTCACTCTCATACTTGTCAGACTGTATTGATTCTCTTCACTCATCTTCTTGTCTACCTCTGTGTGCTATTTGGAAGGTGGCAACTCGAACTGCTGCACTTCGGTGCCAAGTTCTATGTTGAATCCAGACAGACATGTCGACGTAAATTGTATATTTTTAGAAATTACGCGTAAATAATTGGAAAAATTACTTCTTGACTTACATTTCCACAGGAGGATTTAGGGATATGGGCTTCTCTTTCTTCGTCTTGTGCTTCAATTTCAGCCAAACCACATGTACAGTTTTTACACGCTCGTTTCTTTTTACCCGCTGAGTCAGTAACTGCTTCTTTACCACAGACAGCCGGCGCCTCAAAGTCTGCTTTCTGCAGTAGTGCATTTGTGTCTATGACATTCTCACTGATATCATTAGAATCTTCTTTGTCAACGTCTTCCCAAGCCGATTCGACGTCACTATTAGCCCATGGAAGCTTAACACTTGAACCCTGAGTATAGTGTGATGGGACTGAGGCACTGAATATTAGGTATTTTTCATCGTGTAGCTGAAATAAAATATTTGCATTTACTACATAAATGTATTCAATTTACTAACTAAAAGGAAACTATACGGAAACGGATTTTTATTCGAGAAACCACTTCAGTGTTAACAGACCTTCGTAATTGCGACAAACTAAATAAACAAGTGCTGAGCTAAAAAAAGGTGGGCAAGTATGATTTACCACCGACGCATAACAAAATTAAAGGAAGGCGAATAAAAGCTGATGGTATATGAAGTGAGACTGATATACGTAATACACTGGTTCTCATCATATGTAACAGCTGAGTCTAGCATATTAACTGCTCAAAGACATCCATCAGTGTCTATCCCTCGTCCCGAATTCCGAAAATCACCAAGTATATATCAGACAAAATAAATCCACATTTAACTAATCAGATCAGGTCAACATTCCTGGATTGCTGCTGTCAGTACCTTGGGACAATAAACTGCAAACACGTGGCGAATCTGAGAAATAATGTTGTGGTACTAACCTCCTATAGCAAAGATACTTGTGATAATCTCATGGATTGCAGATGAAGTACTGTTTATCTTGCAGTAGGAGAAGAATTTTCAAAAGATGGTGGACAGTTGTGTGCTGTTCAGTTGGACGAATCTGTTAGAAGAGGGAGGAATTGAAAGACCCTTCGCTGTCTTTCCCTAATCTCCGCCGACCAACTGCAGTTCGGACGACATTTATTAAAACCTATCTAGTTTGCTTCCGAATGTGAAACGCTCAGACACATTCAATTCAACAGGTGAACTCAATACTCGAGTGGGTAAGCTGTATCTGTCAGGAAAATATGTTGGTACCATATAGACAGTCCCGTGTCGAAGAACTGGCCATGATACTTTTGTCCAATACTGTCTATATAATTATCTGCATTCGATCAGTACTCAATTCAAAAAGAAAAACCACCTTATTTGGCGACTACACACATTGAGTCAACCATGGGCATAAAAAGATCATATGGCTATAAGTTATCGGCAGAGAGAATAAATAGAGGACTGCCGCTCTTTTTGGAACGGCTGCATGGTCTGGGGTAATAACACTAGTCACTGCACATATATAATTACGACTGGGAACTAACAGACGACTACCCACATCTTCCAAATTCTCGGTGGACATAATGAGTAACTGAAAGTGACAGAAAACATAATCCCTGGGGGAACCAGCACCATATCCAGTGTATTTTAGGAACAGTTGTAAAGGTTGCTGGTAACATTTAACCAAAAGTTAGAAAATAGGAGTTGATTTCTGGAAGAGTCATTCAGATGGGATTCAAACACGAAAAGGAGTGAAAACTGCTCAGGTGCAAGTTAACCAAAAATCGATGCAACAACAAAAGCCTAATAGATGGAAAAGGTACTAGCTACGGCTAATACCAGAAAACTATTGAAACAAGTAAGGTAAACGAGTTGTAACAAACCTATGCTAAATGCAACTTGGTGAGAAGGACATCAATTATTTCTCAGGGCATATGGATATACAGCATATTGGATGCAGTAAAGTCGCAGAGGGAAAGGCCTCGTGGATTGAACTGAGGCATGAAAATATTGGTGTACATAACGAGGAATTGAATAAACAGTTCATTGCACTACAGCATAATAGTCTAGTATTAATTTCAATGTTATTTATAGTGACTGATGAAGGAATAAGCTGAAGTGTGAGACAAATGTAGTTTTATTCTCTCTGATGTAGAACGGTGGTCACCGTAGTTTATACAGAAGCAGGAAAATCTTCGTGATGACATTGGACTTATTTTCGTAATTGTCGGTTGTATGCCAAACCTGATTATGTGGAAGCACTTAATGTCCCCTGGTTATGTACGCAGCATCGGGTGCTGCGACCTCAGCATGTAGAGCATCTTAACACACACAGTCGTATTTAGTCGATTCGGATTAATATAGCAACTAAAAGCAGTTGTAAACACAGTAAGTGAACGTACAAAAAGAGGTGAAAACAAAAGAATTCCGAACAACACTATGTGATTGTGTTATGACACACTACGGTGCGAAAGTATTCAAAACACTTACCTGTTGGGGACCCATATATCCGGAGAGAGTCAAGTTTTTTCTCAAAGAATCCCACACGTTCGTAGTCAGTACCCGACCAACAAGACGACCACCAGGTTTCAAACAGAATGAGAGGTTCGATAATAATTCAAATGGAAGTGCATTTACATTTAATGGATTGGGCCATCCACACAATACGACAGAAGCATATTCACGAAGATGATTACCGACAGTTGAACTGCTAGTGAAGTTTTCTAAATTTTCAAATTGTAGTTTTTGAACGAGTGGAGAGATATGTGTCTGCAAACTGCGCATAGTGTTTTCTTGAACTTCCCCTGACCATACCATTATAACACAGTCATCACTGCAAAGAATATCAGTGACACATTGTTCCATGATACCTGAAAAAGTTAAGACTGATGAGTTTCTTACATACAAGGACGTTGAACGCAAAAATCTTTTTAAAAGTTCGGAAAGTCTTAACATTTTTTTGGGTTAAAGAAGTCAGCAAAATGGACTATTGACGATAAAAAAATAGAGACAACTGATGTTTAGTCAAAATCCAAGGAAGATGGATCAAAATTTAAGTACATAAATGAACTTTGCACTCACTTTACAATAGTTAAAGGACAATTTAGTTGTGTTTTTTTATGTTATTTAAAGAAAATATACAGGACTTAAAATAAGTGGACTAACTAAGTTATAACATAGGACTTCGTGCAGTAGTTGATGTAGCACATGGTATTTTAATGCTGCACACCGGTGCAAAGTTTTATGTTGATTTGTTATTGATTTTAATGTTTGCAAGCAACTGGCTAAAGTCATCTTGTCCGATATTAAACACTTTCTATGTTCGGAACTTTCTTCTCGTATCTCATCGAATAACACCAGGAGAAATTCCCTAAGGACTTATGCTCGTGAGGCAAAATATAAAAATTCAACTGTAACATGTTTAGCACGGGTTCTGTGTGAAGTCATGTCATGAAAGAGCTTGTAAACTTACTTTTCAATCTGTGAACGAATGACTGATTATAAGCGGCATTATTAATGCACATTATTCTTCTAATAACTTTCAGTTCTTGAGGTTTTCTTATTTTTAGTATCTTATATGTTTATTTGTAATAGGAGATAAATTGTTGCTATATGTGCAAGACTGAAAACTCCGTATAGAATAATTAATACAGTTTGCAACACAGTTATTGTTTTAATTAAAAAGCTAAAGACAAGAGAGAAAAAACATATACAGAACAACCATAATCAGTAGAATTGTGGGGGAGAAAGAGTGGTGACATGGAAGAACATAACCATTAAGTGGATTTTAAAGATCACAAACCGCCAGCCAACGACACTCAATATTCTCACGAAGCCAATCAGGAAGTTTACACCTCCCAGTGTGGCAGGCCCAAACTAACTGTTATGGATTAAATTGACTGATGAAGCCATGTTTTGGTTTGACCACCACTAGATCTTTTCCAACCTGATCCTATGTCAGCTGACATTGCCCATTATCGAGGAAGGCAATGGCTAGGGATGCGTAATACATGTCCTAACCATCTCAGTCGGTTGACCTTCACAACCAGTAGGCGAAATCAAAACACCATATAGATTTATTAGGGAAACAGATTGTAAAACCAGTCAGATTTTAGGCCATAAAAACATTATATTGAACATACATTCACCCTTCGATAGATTCTGGAAAATAGGTATACTTACCGACGTCCAACAACTGCTCTATTTCTTGACGTGGACGCAGAATTCAACCCCGTCATCCGAAAGGTGCTATCACATTATTTGACTCTGTAAGGATTCCCGAGAAAGTGTACCTCAAAAATCAAGACACTCTAATAAGACTCACAAAGTCGTAAAACCTTGTGAAGGATCGTCATCTTAGGCGATGACAACCAATGGTATACATCAAGGATCACCATTGTCCCGATTCAATTTATTTACATCACAGATGCATGAATGAGTATAACCATGATTAACTTTAGTAACTTGTTACCAGGGGACAGACCCGTCGACTTGGAGTATTTGGATGATATTTTAACAAATTTTGGTGATTTCTGAACACCTTGAACAAAAGATTTCGAATATTTAACATGCGATTCTGTCCTGTATTTTCTTTCTTGGTATTCTCTCCTGTCAAATGTAAAATGATTCTGCAGGACTGTATTGCACTGACTCCTTGTTTAAAGATAAAGAGTGAAGTTGCTGGGCGTATTGACCACTTCACCTCACGATTGGGAAGTGGCATCACCCCTAATAGACTGGTTTCTGACTAAAACTCCCTACAGATACAGAAGGCTAGTTTGACACTTTCCAATCCACACCATCTCTGTCGATTAAGCGATATCCGGCTGTGTACTGCTCAGGAGTTCGCTTTGTTTTCCTTTAAGGCTGTGAGACATGGCCGTCGAAGGCAGAAGACAGGAAGAGGCCGACTAGCTGTCTTTGATCATGGGTGTCTGCATTCTATCTCATGTCAAGTAGTGTCATATGTTGAGTAATATTGAGGTTAAGCATGGAGTTTTAGGTAAGGATAGCAAGTCAGTCGATGAAGTTGTGAAGGCCAACCGATTGAGATGGTTAAGACATGTATTATGCATCTCTAGCCATTGCCTTCCTCGATAATGGGCAATGTCAGCTGACATAGGATCAGGTTGGAAAAGATCTAGTGGTGGTCAAACCAAAACATGGCTTCATCAGTCAATTTAATCCATAACAGTTAGTTTGGGCCTGCCACACTGGGAGGTGTAAACTTCACAGTTAGGTTTTGGTCCTGAGGATGACAAAATCCAATGGCTGGAGACAACTGGTGATGCGGCTCAAATTCGTCCTCAATGGCGCAGATGGATTCACTCTTCGTGATATATAATACCCAATAAGTATTTTTTCTTCCATATTACTATTCTTTTGCCTCATATGTTTATTATCTGTCTTTTGAATCTGTCCTTACTCTCTTCTGTTGCTTTGTGCACTACTGGGATAGTAGTTACTCGAACCCCTATTTATCTTTGAAAAGTTCTATGTTGAAACCAGTCAACAAGTGAAGGTCTTAATTGAGGATAAAAATAGACTCGCAAACAGGCTGTCAATGGCCATAAGAATTCAAAGTGAATGCATTTTTGTTTTGAGATTATCAACAAAAAAAGATTGCAATGGTTGAATGTATGATCCATTCTAATGGTTTATAGAATACCATCTGTCATAATGCACTGGTTATTGAAGAATTGACAACATGATAATAGAAGGGTGGCTAAGCATTTAGCAACTTGTTCGTTATGTCAACATGATACCTAGATACTACTAAATTAGTATACTGTGAGATACTGTTATATGCCGTGCAGCTATGAGATGTGACGAACAGATATACATATCACAATGACATTTATGAGTATCAGTCGAGATGCAGATATTCTTCGATTTAGGCAGCTGGCACAGAAACGTCCATAAAAGATGAGCTAAATGAGGACTAAAGAGGCTGGAAAAAGTGAGGCGAATTAACATCATAAATCAATCGATCTACAATTCTAATGGTAGGTACGGGCATGCGAGTACAGTGAGCATATTTATACATGAGATACTACATGTCACACACACAAACTAAATTAGTTTCCAATAAATTTCACATTATCTTCGATGTTTAAAAATAGTTGCAGAGAGCAGCTAACTTGACAAACTGGTATGCTCCTCGTAACAAAAATATGTACATTAAGGCACTATACTTGGAAATTGGTGGAGTATTTTAGTCATTTTTACTTTGTTCATGAGCAATCATACAAGTTTCTGTTGTCAAACATATGAGTGATGTTCAAATGAAATCGTCGAACAACCTAATATGCAGACTATATTAATTCAAGTACACTGCAGGCTGGAATATTTCGCAAGCGCCTCACCATTGTTACACTTAGGTTTATTTGAAAAGCCGATAAGTTTTACATACGATAGGTTTGCTTGCTAAACACGATACCTTTGCAAGGAAAATGTCGCATATTTAAACGTAAGTAAAAGGGTTACTATCATTTTATCGCAGCCATGACTGAGCCTAGGAGTTCTCCAACGAGGAACTGTTTTAAACAAACTAACTACAAAAATTGCCTCATGGATAAGATTTTATTTTGACAAATCACACAGTGTTGTACATTAATATCAACTTATCACTTAATATTACTGTACAACACTGTGTGATTTATCAACATAAAATCTTATCCATAATGGCGTTACAAAACTCCCCTATCGAATCATCTAACAACAGTTTTCACGACAGATGTAGAAAGGCCGACAAGGTAATGGACAACAGGCCTCTGTTTATCCAAGTCAAAAAATAAGTACATATGTCAATAACTAGACAGGAAAAGACAAAACTTACCGAAAACATGCGATCTTCACAAATCCAGAACCAACGGCATCTGATCACAAGGCCAAGAACTAACACATTAAAACAACATTGATAACTATACCCATGGTTTAGGGATACTTTCTGCAGAAAAGTGAGGTCTAAGAGTTACAATTACCGTGAGGGTATAAAAACAACTGTTTGCTGAGAATAATTACACCAGCGAGCATAAAACGCAGGTATCACTGTATAATGGATGCCTATGACTTCTTCCTACTTCACCCAAACTGGTACAACTAAGGTAATCGCTCATTTAAAGTTCGCTGCAAGTTCATTTCACTAGGATCGCTATTCTTTAATTTGGTGAGTAAGAGATAGTTCAACTGTATTTGTTCCATATGCCAAAATTCATTATTGGGATTTGGAAGTAAGGTAATTCGATAAAACGTCCACTTATTCGTGATTCATAGAATGACACATCATAATGGAAGAAATAGAAAATAGTGATTTCTGTTAATTCACTTGAGAAAAATCTTCGTCATTTGTTTTTGTTGGCTTTTGTTCATCCTTGAATGCTTCGCATTTTTCAGATAGCGGTAGGTGATCACTTCCCAGTACTTAATACAATACTGCTCCTAATTATTTCTGGATATCACATAGTATTGGTGGGAAAATTGTGAAGAGGTCGTTTTAGTTTAATGGTAGTGTCCATGAAAATAGGAATATATGACTAAAATTAGGTAGGAATATTGACAGCAATACATTAATAGCAGAAAGAATAAAGAAGTGGGTCAGTTACTGTTTCCAGAAATTTGGTGATTCTATACCTTACGCATTCCTCGTCACATAGAATGCTTGCCAAATAAAGTGTCGTCCGGCCAGGAAATCTTTAGACACCTCTTCTATTCGTACCTAAAGAGATCGAAGGTAGAGTTGTGCACAATGAGGATGCCCAGAGTTTTACAAGTCGATATTCACT